TCAGCGGTAGGGACAGAAGTGGCCCTAGGCACGGTCCTCCCGTCGTCAGGAGAGGGACTTTCTGGAGAGAAGAATGCCCCGAACTTCTGAACTTCCCAAAGTGTGTGGAGTGACCTCCCACCGAGGTGGGCAAGGACTCCAAGAGGGGAGTCTGAATGGGGACAAGTGAGTGGAAGAGAACCACAGGGAACTGGGAGCAGAGGCAAAAATGAAGGCATGGGGGTCCTGGGGGGAAACAGGAGACAGAGAAGGACTGGGGGAAGAAGAGGAGAAAAACGGAGGGAGATGGAAAGGATGTGCCAGAGATGGGAGGGAAACTAGAGGAAGGAGGTAAGGGAGGCGTGTGAGAGATGAGAAGGAAAGAGGATACTTGGAGACAGCGACAGGGCTCAGCACACCTTTTCCAGGATCAGAAAGAGGGGTGGCTCTTTCTGTCTCCTAGGCTGCTGGACCACACTCCATCCTACCCCCACCAACAGCAATCCCCTAGAGGACGTACTCCACTTCGGTGCCTTGGCCAGCCCCAACCTGCCACCCACCAGACACATGAAGACCACTTCCAACAAGACCCAGATGGCAGGTGCCCCAGGAGGGGGCCCTAGGCTATGAGCATCTCTCACCTCAACTCACCCAACTGCTCCCCTAGGGTGTGGAGAAAGCTGGGACCCCTGAGATAGAGCTAGAATTTCTTGTTGCTGGAATCCTTCCTGACAACCGGAGGCCTATTGCCTCCTGCTCAGGGCTCTGTGGAGTAAGAAGTCAAGCTGTAAAAACGCCAATATTTGGAGACTTTCAGAGCTGGGAAAGTTCCAGGTTCTCATCCCTTTATGCCTAAACAGTCACCCCATCTTGCCTGTCCCATCCAACCTAGGTCCTACTCTTGGTCCCACTCTCACAGGATAGCAAGTGAGCCTAGTAAGCTGGAATGTTCTGAGACACCAGCTCAGACTACAGAGGAGCAAAGAAGGCCTTGGACCCACATCTTGTCCACTAGCTCCTCACCCTGGACGCACTCCCAGAACCCCTGTCCCTCCAGCCCCTCCCAAAGCACTCCAAGAGCTTCATGTCATGCCCAGAATCCACCAGGCTTCCACCAGATTCTTTCTCTTTTTTATTTATATGGATAATTTTTTTAAGTCTTTATTGAATTTGTTGCAATATTGCGTCTATTTTTTCATGTTTGAGTTTTTTGGCTCTAGGCATGAGGAGGAATCTTAGCTCCCTGACCAGGACTCAAACCCACATCCCCTGCATTGGAAGGTGAAGTCTTAACCACTGGACCTTCAGGGAAGTTCCTTTGCCATAGATTCTGCCTCTCTGAACTTCCATGCCCCAGAATTTAGGACCAGACAGAGGAACAGTGACTGTTTATTAGTTGGATACTCCACATGACAAAGAGAAAGGTGTGGTGCTCTCCATTTCTCAGATGAGAATACTGAGGTTCAGAGAAGCAGCCTATCTTGTCTGAGGGCCTGTGAAGCCAACCAGCATTTGAGGCCTAAAGGGAGGAGGAGGCTGAGCCAAGGCCACGGTCAGGCCCCTGGCCTGCTCTTCCTCCAGCTTCAGCCCTATGCTCAGCCTCCCCCCTCCAGCAGGGCACTGCCTCAACCCCTGCCCGTTTCCCACCCTTCTCACATATGCAGGTGCACCTCAACACCCTGCTGCAGACCCACACACCCACTCCACAACAAACCCACCCTATGCCCCCTCCCCAGGAGCACACCATCCCCCATCACTCCCTCCTCCATGAAACCTGAAGTCAGACTCCCCCATTTCCCCATTCCCATAGCACTATAGCCCCTGCATCTGACTATGTCGCTCTCCTGCTTAAAAACCTTTCCACGGCTGCCCCTCCCCTTGGGAGAGTATTCACTCCTCAGCATGGCATTCAAGACCCCTGCAGACTTTCCTGGCCTCATCTCCATCCGTTCCCCACAACACCCCACACCACAAGCAGCAGTAGACCCATTGCAGTGTCTGGGGCCCTGAGGACCATCCCTGGGAGGGTTGGCTCAACATGCCAGCGAGGAGGGTGGATGTACATCTTGTTGACATGCAGCTCCCTGCTCACCTTAATCCCCTCCGACTCTACAAGGGCAACGGGTGGCCAGGAGGGTCTGAGACACCGCACTCCACTCCTCCTTCCTGCAGGTCCCTGGGGCCTCTGCAGAGCCCCCCAGAGGCCCCAAAGTACAACCCCTCCTCAGCAGCTTTCCCAGCACCTTCACTTCCTGGAGCAGCTACAGCAGGGAGACCATGCATACGGGCCCAGCCCCTGGGAAGCTTCCAGGCTGGAAATTGAGGAATGACCCTGTCACCTGGGGGCCAGACAGACCCAGGGACAAAGCTAGGCCAGGATGCAGGTGGACACAGGTTGGCTCAACATGCCAGCGAGGAGGGTGGATGTACATCTTGTTGACATGCAGCTCCCTGCTCACCTTAATCCCCTCCGACTCTACAAGGGCAATGGGTGGCCAGGAGGGTCTGAGACACCACACTCCACTCCTCCTTCCTGCAGGTCCCTGGGGCCTCTGCAGAGCCCCCCAGAGGCCCCCAAGTACAACCCCTCCTCAGCAGCTTTCCCAGCACCTTCACTTCCTGGAGCAGCTACAGCAGGGAGACCATGCATGGGGCCCAGCCCTTGGGAAGCTTCCAGGCTGGAAATTGAGGAATGACCCTGTCACCTGGGGGCCAGACAGACCCAGGGACAAAGCTAGGCCAGGATGCAGGTGGACACCAGCTGGTGGGTGGTGACAGCCACAACAGTCACAATGGCTGCTCCTCATTAAACACTTACTAAGTGCAAGACTCCAAGCTGAGCAATTTATAGATGTTTTCTCATTTAATCCTCCCCTTTACATCTATGGAGTAGATATCCTTCTTAGTTTACAGACAGAAAGAGGAAGCTCAGAGAAATCTAGCAATCTGTACAGCATCATGCAGCTAACCAGTGGAAGACCTAAAATGTAAATCCAGATCTACCGATTCCTAAGGCCATGCCCTTCCCACCCCATTTTATAGCCACCCCAAACTCCAGGTGGGAACTTGTCACTTTCCTTCCAAAAAGACCTCAAGGGCTCCCCACCGCCAAGAGCATAATCTCTCCCAGCTGAGGGGCCCCACTATCTGGCTGCTGCCTGCCTTTCACAACCCACACTCACTACCCTCCAGATTGCAATCTTGGCATTTTCTAAGTCAAGCTCTCTGAGCTTCACTGTTCACTTGGGCTCAAACACCTGTGCCATTTTACAGATGAGAAAACAGAGGATTAAGAATGTTAAGTAACTAGCCCAAGGTTACACAGTTGGGAAGCAATTGAGCCTGATTGGAACCCAGGTCATTAGCGCATCAAGTACTCAAGCATTAATTTGTGTTACAGACAATTAAGGAGTAGGAATTAGCAGGACATGCTGCCGATGGTGCAGAAGAAGGTTGGGGAAGAGTACTCAGGTCAGTTCCAGAATATAGGAGGGCACGCTAGGCCTTCAGGAATGGCAGGGTCTGGATGGGTGAATTTGAAAGGGAAGTCTAAGAAAAGTACAGACAAGACAAAAAGAGAGAGAGAGAGAGAGAGAGAGAGAAAAGGCTGGTGAAAATTAGGGAGGCAGTGTACATGGTAGAAAGGACTGTGCCATGGGGAAGCCCTAATATGCGCTCCAAATTCCTGTGTGACCTTGAGCAAAGCCCTTCCCTCTCTGGGGGACCCCTTGTCTATAAATGAAGGGTAGATGAGCCCTGCTGGTCCCTAGGGTCTAATCTGGCCCTGACATCCTAGGATTCTGACTCTGTATGTTGCTATTGAGCCTTAAACACAGGTTCCCCAGACCTATTGAAAAGGGGTACAGACTTGAACTCCAAGGGCAGACAGGGGCTAGCAGCCAACAGTACCCAACAGAGTACACCAAGGGTTGGCCCCAGGGATGGCGCATGCATCCCTCTTCTCCATGCGTGCGTACCGTACATGTGGACTCACTGCAGCAGGGCTGATATTGTGGAAGTTGGAACGAGTGAATGAGGGGTGAATTGAGTCAAAGTGGAACTGAGGGCTTACAGGGAAGGTTCAGGACATGCCCAGCACTAGCTAAAAGCCCTGACTCTGGCTCCCCCTCAGGAAAAGGGAAGGGAGCAGGGGTCCCTGAAGGAGGGGCAGAGAAAACATCCTGTGGATAAGGGTGAGGGTGTCAGGCTCAGAATAAGTGGTGTGTCCAACTGGAGGACACTTAGGGAACAAGGATGGTCCCCAATCAAGACTGGCACCCACATCTAGAGTACATTACAGACCATCAGCAAAGGGGATGCTCTTCCTTGGGTGCCTGTGGTACAACCACAGAGGCGCAGTAGAGGGCTCAGAGTCAGGTGGGGCAGAAAATGCATCACTAGAGGCTGTTTGCACACACATGCCCATGCACACACTCACACATGCCCATGCAGATGCATGCACACACAAACTCCTGTGCAAAGACCCCCCAAACCAAGTCATCCATCTCCCCCACCTCCAGAATGAGCCCTTCAAACTGCTCTCCCTACACAGTCAGCACGCCCTTCACGTGCCGATGACACACAGCCCCGGCAGTCAGAAGGCCTCGGTGGCTCACCTTTATCCCTCTTGCCGCAGTTGTGATGCGCCTGCTTCCTTTCTGACTCAAGAGGTGTCAAACAGAAACAGGCCCACCCACCTCTGCGTGCTGACTTCCACCCTCTGGAACATGAGCTCACCTCTTATCTTTCCTGCCTCTTTGACCTCCGTCTCTTGCCCTCAAGAAGGCTGTCTTATTCACCACTGAACACTACATGAGGGAATGAGAGAGCCCTTGGGAGCCCACCTGGTCCTCCAGTGGCCCACCTCACTGGACCCTCAAGATATATCAGAGAGCTTGAGACTAACAGCATGCAGAGTAAGTCCTCAGTGAAGACCGTTTAATGCATGTCCTTAATTATCCCACCATCCCATCACTTGAGTAGGAAGTCCTTTTGGAAGTCTAGCCTCAAGTCCTCATGCTATGGTTTGAGCCAGGGTTCCACCTTTGTTGGAGTCTGGGGACCAAACTGTATGAGGCTACACAGGTTGGTAAGAGGAGCCGCCTTCCTGGAAGGGGATGAGGCCAGGAAGGAGATTACAGAGGCGCCGGGCCCAGGGCTCCACAATTGCACCTGCCGCAGCTCCGACAGGGAGATCAGGGGGCCTGCCAACTTACCCCACCCCATGATCTCATAGCTGTGTTTGCCAGGCGCTTGCTCGGGGAGCAGGTGCTGACAGCATGGATTGGGCACAGAGCCCAAGGACAAGAAGGCGGGAAGGCTTCGAGGGCCAACAGCAGTGTAGTCCCCACGGGGCTCAGACATGAGGTCCCTCCAGCCTCTGCTTACTGCCTTTGGCTGCTGACACCCCATCTCGGCTCCTCTTTCCAGGTTCCCGCATTGCCCACCTGTCCCCCAGACGACAACGGATTATGGGAGAAGAGACTCCTTCTTCCTCCCTGAGCATCAATCTCTCCATTTGCACCTCTTTTGGCTTCTCTCTGTTCCAAATTTTGAATGGCCCTAAGTGGCATGCTGTTGTTTCCAAGCAGGCAGAATTTGCCGGATGGGAGACCAAACGTTCAAATTTTGTCATTCCTGAGGCTACTACAGGCATAAATCTAAATGCCAGTTAAAAGTGACTATGAGTCCCTAAATAGATGCTTCTGTCCTAGTTTTGGGGCATCCCCAGAGGTGTCAACCCCAGACCCAAGGTTCTCCTGTGTCTTAGTTCCCCTCAATCCACCATGAAATCCACCTCTGGAGTCAAGAGAGCCCCTCCACCCAGCCCTGGTCCAGTAGGCTGCAGTTCCTGGACTCAGGACGGGGACACCTGGTGGAAACCCCAGGCCTCAGAGTGAAGAGTCGCCTGAGTCTTGGGACTGCAGTCAAAGCTCTGCCGGGCCATCAGAGGCTCCCTTCGCCTCTTGATTCAAAGGTGAGGCCCCCAGCTTGGGAGAGAGCTGTCCCTCAGGGTGCTTTTTCTTCTCCCCCATTCTGCTCTCACCTCAGCCAGCCTCCCTCTGCACATCTCCCTCTCCCCCCAACCAGGGAACCCTAGCCAGGCCTGCCCCTTCTGGCTGCTCAGTCCTGCTCATGGCCCACCCCTCCCACAAGACACCACCCCGGATCTGCCCCTCTCCTTCTTCAACCACCACCCAGCCCTAGTGCCTGAGGTATGTCTGCTGTTCCCACTGTGGACGGCAGCCTGGGATGTGCCGGCCACCCTCCAGGGAACACCTCAAAAACTATAGCAGCACCTCTTCCTCAAACCCTGGGTCTGTCCCGCGTCCTCCCCCACCTCCACAATCTATCCTGCCCTCCCAGCTTCTAGCCCTCCAGGTCCTTCTCTGTATGGGAAGCGGGTGGACGAAGGGCCCCTCCCATTCAGCAGCTCTGTGAATCTGAAGTTTCTCTCCAGGGCCTCGAGCCCAGGCCCAAAGCAGTCAAAGATGGAGACAGACTGACCGCAGATCTGCCCTCCTCCATATTGGCACCCTGGTTCCTGAGAAGGAGATAGGAGGCCTTATTAGCATCCTATCTCCACTTCTCAGAACATTTCTCAGCCTCTACAGAGGCTCCACACTCTTCCCTCATCTTTTTCCCCAGACATCCCAAGAGAAGACACCTGGACAGCCCACCAGCCAAGACTCAGCTGGACTTCCTGGAGAGGACGACCTGGCTCAAGGGTAGCAGTTTGCTGAGCCAGAGCTCCAAGGCACAGCTCCTGGGGATTGGCTAGTTCCAGAATAATGATGCCTCTGGGATGCTAGGTGCCCACTGCTCTCCCTACCTGCCCCCACCCCAAAGACAACCTTGCCCCTCCTCAATCGGTCCACACCCCACTTCTCCGGGAAGGCTTCCCTAGACAACCCCACCCAGCTCTTACTGCCACTTATTCCGCCACCCCACGCACTTAGATCCAAAGTTTTCCCTGTATTCAGTTGCCCTTGTTCATGTGTTGCTTTGCAAATGTTCTCATAAAGCTGTATTTCTTATCATTGTCACTAGTTGTGACTTCCCATGCTAATTAAGCCTACTTTGCTAGAGGATTAGTCCCTGACCTTACAGAGTGCCAATAAAGATTCTAAAATCTAATTCATATCTCTTTCCCTGCAATCTTTTCCTCTTGACAATCAAGCAATGTCACAGATGAAACTCCCAACAATGGGCAGCTTCTCCCCATGGCTAAGTTCTTGCCTTGATTGCCAGAGAGGACCCTGATAAGGTTGTTTCCAAGCAGGACTCTCTAGGCAGTATCTGGAAGAGGTCAGCTCCTCCTCAAGGGAATCTTCTCGCTCTGGAGCACTGCAAACCCTTCCGAGATCATTTCCCTTCTCCCTGGCCTCCAGAACCAGGCTGAGAGATAATGCCGCGTCCACACTGGGGTCCCTCAGACGCTGCAGTAAAATGTGGCAAGACAGTGACATGGGATTGAATCTACACTGATTGTGTGGACTAATGCCCCTGGACCTTGATTCTTCTGCCTATAAAATGGGCAAAATAGTAAGATGGAGTTGATACACGTAAACCAGGCTGAGGCAGGAGTCCCTCTTTTTGCAAAGGAAGATGCTGCAAGCCACTTCAAGGTCATATAGCTAGTCCTGGGGATGCATTCATTAAGCCAGAAACCCTTTGGTGAGTCCCTACTGAAACTGCGCAGAGGATTAAGCTTACCTGCTTATCTAGATAAACTTAGGGTAGGAGGAGGCAGACCTGTGAATGGGAAACATCAGTAGGACAGAGCAGGTTCAAAGCTATGAGAGAACATGAGCAAATTTCTGAGAGCTCACAGAAAAAGACCAACAGCCCCTCCTCAGCATCTCCTTCTCAACGGAGAAAGCTCTTTTTTTTTTAAGACTTTTTGTGTGTGTGGACCATTTAAGTCTTTATCAGATTTGTTACAATACTGCTTCTGTTTTTACCTTTTGGCTTTTTAGCCACAAGGCATGTGGGATCTTAGCTTCCCAACCAGGGATCAAATTCACACCCCCTGTGCTGGAAGGCGAAGTCTTAACTACTGGATGGCCAGGGAAATCCCCATCTTCTAACTTCATTTCATAAAAGACAGTTTGGTAAAGTCAATGAATGAGGCTTCACTAGTGGGACTCCAGAGGGTAGGTTGCCCTGGGCTGCCCCAGGCCCCTTCGCTGCTCCCCGCAGGGGCACCCCCAGACCAGACACAGACAGGCTTGCTCTGAGAGGCTATCTTCATTTACAGAGGTGAGGAAGGACTGGAAGGCTGACTCGGGCCCATGGAAGCTAAAGTAGGTCTGGCTACCAGAGGTCAAGGGCGACTGGTGGGGAGGGGCAGCAGGGAGTAATGCTGGGCCCAGGTTGCAGCCGCCCACCTTTCCCGCCCAGGAATGCCATCAGCCAGCTGAAATTCCCAGCCCACACCAGGCACCCTTGAGGGCTGCGGGGGAGGGTGGGATTTACACTTCTCCCCACCCCCACTGACACCCCAGCGGGAAATGTGTTGAGTTCGTCAACATCTCTCTGGGCCCCGGGGCCCAGTACTCCTGTGGCTCCTAAATGATGGGGCAGAAGCCAGGTCATTAGGCAAGGGAGACTGTCATTAGTGCAGTGGTGATGCCACCGCCGCAGAGACAATGGCAAACAGTCATTAGTGGCTATGTCACGGGGGTGAGGCAATGCTGGCCAGGCTTGGCAAACTGCCCCTCCCCTTGTCCAGCTCCCACACACTCACCTATACACTCACACCAAGGAGAAAGCAGGTGCCCACTCCCCCAAGCACATGTTCACACAGCAGAATTGTGAGTACATACTCCCACATACTTACATACTTGCCCACTCACATGTCCACACACACACACAAGGAGCTGGACCCCTGGATCCTTCCACAACCAGGTACCCAGACACATAGGTATCGCCCCTGCTTGAGATGGATACACAGACCTCCAGGGGCCCCAGAGGAAACTTCAGACATCTCTTCCCATCCCACCCACTCTGCTTCAAGGGAGCAGCACCCATGACAAGGCTTGCCTTACTTGCACCCCAAGAAATCGTTTACTGAACCCCCAAGACATGGTCTACCATAGGCATGTTTCTAAGCATTCCTGATCCCCCAGCAGGAGAGAGACAGGAAAGGGAGGTTGGGATCAGTGAAATCTATCCTCCTTTCCAGTTTTGAATCTTTCCTTCCTTCCGCCTCACCAACTGGCTTTCATTTGCCAAGCTGTGGGACCCAGCTTTCAGTCTGGAAAATGTGGGTGTGGGTGGGGTGGTGGGAAAAGTGGCAGTTACATCAGTCGTGTAAGGTAGAAGGGAGCAGGGGGCCAGCTGAGCCCTGGGTTCAGATCCTAGCTCTGCTACCAGTTGGACATATTCATTTCCTGCTTCTGCTATAACCAATTCTGTTTTTACCTTTTGGCTTTTTAGCCACAAGGCATGTGGGATCTTAGCTTCCCAACCAGGGATCAAATTCACACCCCCTGTGCTGGAAGGCGAAGTCTTAACTACTGGATGGCCAGGGAAATCCCCATCTTCTAACTTCATTTCATAAAAGACAGTTTGGTAAAGTCAATGAATGAGGCTTCACTAGTGGGACTCCAGAGGGTAGGTTGCCCTGGGCTGCCCCAGGCCCCTTCGCTGCTCCCCGCAGGGGCACCCCCAGACCAGACACAGACAGGCTTGCTCTGAGAGGCTATCTTCATTTACAGAGGTGAGGAAGGACTGGAAGGCTGACTCGGGCCCATGGAAGCTAAAGTAGGTCTGGCTACCAGAGGTCAAGGGCGACTGGTGGGGAGGGGCAGCAGGGAGTAATGCTGGGCCCAGGTTGCAGCCGCCCACCTTTCCCGCCCAGGAATGCCATCAGCCAGCTGAAATTCCCAGCCCACACCAGGCACCCTTGAGGGCTGCGGGGGAGGGTGGGATTTACACTTCTCCCCACCCCCACTGACACCCCAGCGGGAAATGTGTTGAGTTCGTCAACATCTCTCTGGGCCCCGGGGCCCAGTACTCCTGTGGCTCCTAAATGATGGGGCAGAAGCCAGGTCATTAGGCAAGGGAGACTGTCATTAGTGCAGTGGTGATGCCACCGCCGCAGAGACAATGGCAAACAGTCATTAGTGGCTATGTCACGGGGGTGAGGCAATGCTGGCCAGGCTTGGCAAACTGCCCCTCCCCTTGTCCAGCTCCCACACACTCACCTATACACTCACACCAAGGAGAAAGCAGGTGCCCACTCCCCCAAGCACATGTTCACACAGCAGAATTGTGAGTACATACTCCCACATACTTACATACTTGCCCACTCACATGTCCACACACACACACAAGGAGCTGGACCCCTGGATCCTTCCACAACCAGGTACCCAGACACATAGGTATCGCCCCTGCTTGAGATGGATACACAGACCTCCAGGGGCCCCAGAGGAAACTTCAGACATCTCTTCCCATCCCACCCACTCTGCTTCAAGGGAGCAGCACCCATGACAAGGCTTGCCTTACTTGCACCCCAAGAAATCGTTTACTGAACCCCCAAGACGTGGTCTACCATAGGCATGTTTCTAAGCATTCCTGACCCCCCAGCAGGAGAGAGACAGGAAAGGGAGGTTGGGATCAGTGAAATCTATCCTCCTTCCCAGTTTTGAATCTTTCCTTCCTTCCGCCTCACCAACTGGCTTTCATTTGCCAAGCTGTGGGACCCAGCTTTCAGTCTGGAAAATGTGGGTGTGGGTGGGGTGGTGGGAAAAGTGGCAGTTACATCAGTCGTGTAAGGTAGAAGGGAGCAGGGGGCCAGCTGAGCCCTGGGTTCAGATCCTAGCTCTGCTACCAGTTGGACATATTCATTTCCTGCTTCTGCTATAACCAAGAACTTAGTGACTTAAAACAACATAATTTTGTTATCTTACAGTTTGGAGATCAAAAGTCCAAAATGTGTTTCAATGGTCTAAAACCCAGGTGCCAGCAGGGCTGCCTTCCTTCTGAAGGTCCTAGAGGAAGATCATTTCCCCATCTTTTCCAGCTGCTGGAGACCACCCACCTTCCTTGGTCCCCTTAGCTCTTCAAAGCTCCAGGAGTCTCTCACAGTATCACTCTCAGCACCTTCTTCCTCATTAAAAGGACCCTGGTGATGATCCTGGGCCCACCCTGATCATTCAGGATAATCTATCCCTCTCCAGAGCCTTCACTTATTCATGTCAGCAAAGTCTATGACCATGCAAGGTAACATATTCTCGGGCTCTGGGGATCCATTATTCTATCTACCACACCTGGTGACCATGGGCACCTTTAACCTCCCAGAGTCCAGCATCTTCAATCATAATCTAGCAATAACTCCTACCACATGGATGATCCTGAGGACTTAGAAAGTCACATGAACAGGAAGCACGGTGCCTCACATGGTGAGTGGGAGGGTCCTTGGCCAGCAGCACTGTCATCTCCCTTTTTGACTTCCTGAGGATAAAGGAGGACGAGAAACCTGGGTGAGGGACCTCAGAGGCTGGCGAGGGGGCTTTGGAGGCTCTAGCAGGTCGGGAAGGAGGTATGGGTGTCTGTGAAGGTCCCTGGATCCGGGCAGTCACCCGGCGTGGCTGCGGGCACACATACCTGCAGTGACTGGGGACAGGGCAGCAGGGCAGGGCTGGGCTGCCACTCCTGCTTACTCCTGCCTTTCTCTCCCGCATCGGTTGCCATCTGTTTGCAGGGCCCTGGAGCCAGTGGGCAGG